ACTCGCATCTAAGCCTTGGGGCTGAGGCTCAGTCCCTTCCTTGGGGTAGTGGCAGGCCATCATCAGACACCCATGGGCGTCTGGCAGCCGTCTTGTCCTTTCGGATCCAGCCAGTTACAGCTCATTCCTTTGGCTCACATTGTTCCTTAACGACATCACTTTTTCCATCTCCCTGATGGTGTTGTGCCCTTCTGCCTGAGCGCTGCCTCCCAGCTGACCTCCATCTCCCTGACACTCTGTGGTTTCCATGGCTCACTGGACCACACCATCTCTGGACAAGAAGAGACCTGTGCATCTCATGGCCTGGATCTTCCACCCCACCTCATGCCTCCCTCCCTGTGGCAACCTTGGTCCTTATGGGTGGGATGGTCCCATCCCCTTCATGTCACTGAGGGTCCTGGATACACCACTCTTTCTCCAGGCACTAGCTCAAAGCCCCAACAATATCCTTTGGCTTCTGTACAGGCACAGAGACCTTCTGAGTCCCTGCCTGGGCTGGGTGCCCAAGCGCTGTGCCAGGATAACTCTCCCCCCCCCCCACATCATCTCCACTTTCAATGGGTCTAGAGCTGTTCCCTGAGAGTCTTCTCTCCAAGCCCCTGTGGGAACCAGAGTCACCAGGCTTCAAAGTTGGTCCTGCTTCCCACCTGAAGTTGAGCATCTGTCTGTCCACCCATGCTAAATGCAGATGCTGAGTCCCCAGACCTGCCTGGCACCTTCTGTTCAGAGCTCCTCGTTCATTCATGTGACAGCATTTTCCTGAGCTCTAGCTGTACACCAGCCCAGTGTTAACAGCACCTTCTGTTCTGATTCCCCTGTGGTTGCCTGGCTCTGCCCTCAGTCGTTTTCTAGTGAGGCAGCATGGCCGAGAAAGAAAAACTGGAGCCAGACTGACCAAGGCTTAAACCCTGGTTCTCTGTAAGAACTAAGAAGTTGCTCCATTAGGGGTGTCCTCCCTCATGGAGCAGGGGTGGGCCCATTCCTGTATTGTCAGGAGCATTAAACATATGCCCACGAGTTTCTAGTATCACATGTTTCTGGTACAAAGACAAGGAAGAGAGGCATACATTTAGCAGAATGGCAAACACTATGAATGGCAGAGCAAACAGCCTTCAGGGGGACGGGGTGAGGTGAATGGGACGGGGGTATGAGCACTCTGGGGATTAGGCAGAGCCAAGAAGTCTCAATGTGTGACACCCTGTCAGGTACCTGGCCCCCAGCCTTCAGGTAGCAGTCAAGGTTGCTCTAGCTGCACTTGAGGTACCATCCGCCTCCTAGGCTGGCCTTCTTGTCTGTCACCAATGGCAGCAGATGGGAACAAAGTGGGATCCTCTTCACAGCCACTCTCTTGGAAGGTGGTGAGCAGCTGCTGAGGAGAAGGAAGCCCAAACCTGATTCAGCCTACCACCTTCTCCATCTTCTCCCCTCAGTCCTACCCAAGAGAACTGGGTCTCCTCAGGCCTGCTCCCCAGTCAAGGTTGCTTTTCACCTCTATCCCCACTGTAAACACTCAAGGGCCACTTGTGGCCTCACAAGGACACTGATAAGCCAGAGAGTTCCTTTCAGAGGACAGACCAAGGCCCTTGTCTAATTGCATGGGCACCAGTCATCTGAGATTGCCAAGGCCAGAAGAGACAGGAAGCCAGGTGTCCCTGTGGCCTGCTTCTGCAAGGCCACCCTGCTCCCAAAGCCATAATTATGACCGTCAGGGCAGAGAAAATAGTGAAGGACAACAGGCCCAGGCTGCAATCCTTTCACCATGGATTCTCCACAGAGACTGCTTGCTTCTTGCACCCCATCCCCCCCAGTCTCTGCCAGTCAGCCCATCTGTTGAGTTTGGGTCTCACCAATTACTTGGTACCAGCCCAGAGTCCCAGACCTTCAGTGCCAGAAGGGACAGATGTTTGGAAAACTCCCTCCCCATCATCCTGATAACATCCCAATTCTCTCAAAGGGAATTTCCTTAGGGAAAAGAAAGTGCTATGTGAACCAGTAGACAGAAAGCCACCGAATGTCCAGCATCTCTCCATGTTCCATCTTGCTTACCCTTCATTTTCAGAGCCCTTCCCCACCACTTCTTCATACCTGAACTTGACCCTACTTCCTTGATGAATCTGGGACCCAGATGTCACCAAATTGTGGCTTAAAAAAAAAAAAAGTCATGGGTGTCTTAGGGAAAACTTGTTTCACAAAATTTGTAGTTAAAAATATGAATGCAAATAGAATACCTATAAACTCTAAAAATGTAATACTCCAGTTCTTTTTTAAAATGTGGCCTGACAGTACTGGAGAAATGGCTCATCAATTAAAAGCATGAGCTGCTCTTGTAGAACATCCAAGTTTGGTTTCTAGCACCTACATGGCAGCTCACAACTATTTAAATGTCAGTTCCAGGGGACCCAACACCTTCTTCTGCACTAGGCACAGATACATGTGGTGTTCATACATGCATGCAGACAAACTCTCATCCACATAAAATAAAAATAAATAAAATCTTAAAACATAGCCTAAATAACTTGATCCTGAATATGTATCCCTCCTGTTTAAATATTTTAAATGAGTGGTATGTGTGTGCGTGTGTGTGTGTGTGTGTGTGTGTGTGTGTGTGTGTGTGCGCGCGCGCGCACGCGCCCCGCGTCCGTGCCCATGTGCATGTAGAAGCCAGAGGACAACTTTTATTGTCATTTATTTTCACAACACTGTCCATCTTGTTTTGTCATTTTTGTTTGTTTGTTTTGAGACAGGGTCTCTCACTGGCTTGTACCTCCCTAAATAGGCTAAGCTTGCTGGCCAGTGAAGCCAAAGGACCCATTTATCTCCACCTCCCCAGCACTGGGATTACAAACATGCACTATCCTGCCTGGTTTTTGTTAATGTAGTTTGTGAAGCTAGAACTCAGGTCCTTGCACCAGCAAAGCAAGAGATTTACTGACTAAGCTAGCTCATCAAACAGGTTTCTTTTGAATAACTTTAGTCTAGATGAGAATCTAAACCAACTAGAGATTCAGGCTTGGAATGGGTCCTCTCTAGTTTGATCTGTTCATTTGACATGTAGAATGGGCACAAGTCTGAGATGTATTCTCTTCAGTGAAGTTGAACTCCTCCATAGCAGAGCTCAGTCTTGGCTCAGGGGTTTGAGTCTGCCCTACCACAGTGCTGTTTCCACCATGCTGGAGTCTCAAGGTAGTCTGAGACCACTTTGAGAGCATCCCTGGCCTCAGAAGATCCTGCCAGACCTGTTTGTTTCCAGGCTGCTTTGGTGTCCCTGCTCACACGTGTGTCTGGCTCACACGGCTATCCCATTGGGCTTCTGCAAGGGGCTGATTAGGTGTAATTGCTTTGCTGGGAGCGAGCTATCTACTTAATAGAATCAGCTCCCAGTAATTAGCCTGCCACAGGCCCATTTCCTTTGCTGAAGCCCCAGGGCTACTGGACATATTGCATGTTGGACTTCTGCAGGTGGTAGCATGTGGGGTGAATGTGGGTGGTCTTTGGGTTGGTTTGGGGGTAGTCAAGAGGAAACAGCACTAAGGAGATTCAGCAGTAAGAAACCCTTCTGGAGACTGGGAGCCAGTGAGTTATAGCATTCTGGGCTGGAGGGATAAAGAGCCTGGCATAGACAGACTGCTCTAGAAATGTTAAACTGAACCCACTTGAATCATACAGGATGTCTAGTCTAACCCCTGAACCCAACACACTCATTTCTTATAGACATACTATGTGCCAAGCATAAAACTAGCTCCAAGAATCTTTCTAAAATAGATCAATTAGACTGTGCTTGTATGCCCTCTTGACTAGGAGGTCATTACCATGCCCAGCAGTTTCTGCCTTCCTGGGAGACAAGGGGAACACTCCATCTTATGCTGTGCTGGTTGTTGGTTGCATCATTCCACAGATCACTGGTCCCTTCTTGGCCCCACAGGACAAAGCTAATCCCTCCTTGGATGACAGCTCACATGGCCCTGTATTTTTCCCCAGGCTGAACATCCCAAGTCCTCTCACTTGTGCCATGAACATCATCCTGGCAAGGCCCCTCATTAATCTGCTTGACAGGCCTGGAACCTGCTCTTGTTTGTCGATTCTTTACTTCCCATGCAGTCTGGAGCTCAGCGGCTAGGCCTGTAACACTCAGGGTCCTGCCTGCACCAGAGCAACTGCAGTCTTGGACAGCCCCAGATTCCCCTAGACATGGCACTTCCAAGAAGGGCTATGGTGGCACTTTACCCTCTTCCATTAAGGAGAAAGACTGTCTTCTTGAGGGAGTGGAGTCACCACTTTTGCCTGTTCCCCTAACCCAACACACACACACACACACACACACACACACACACACACACACACACACACACACACACACACACACGAACGCCCTGCAGTGCCTGCCCAGCATCACTCAATACCCACGGGCTGATTAATCATTGCGAGTGCTATTATAATTATTGTGTTTGGTGCTGAGAACAGGCTGCCTCTGCTTCTCAGAAACCATAAACCTGCAAAGAAGGATTTCAAGATTTGTGAGCTGTTGACGACATCTCCGGCCTTTCTTTTCTTCAGTGGCTGCATATTTGTCCAGAAAAATGGGCCATGGTCACTCTAGGATCTCTCCAGAAGACAATCTGGGGACTTGATTCTTGCAATGGAGATGACAATTACAGGGACTCATCTTGTGGTTCTAGATAGGGCAGCCAGGGGAGCTGGGCATGAGTCCCTGTGTGTTTCAAGGAATTCAGGAATTCATGCCCCTTGTCAAGTCTCAGTTTCTTCATAGATACTAGAGGTTTAAGCATTTCTCTGGTTTTAATTATGTAATTTAATGACAGAAAAGAGAATGGGTAGAGTGGAAAATGTGAAGGCTTAGAAGATTGATGATGGGGAAGAGACAGGACAGAAGCTGAAACAGGATCCCAAGCTCCTGCACACACAGACAAACATGCACACATGCATGCTCATTCCCACATGTGGCAGGCTGAGAAAAGTCACTATTTTTCTCTGGTTCTTACCTGTTGGTCTGCCTGAGATCTCAGTAATGGCTGAGTCCACCCTCTGTCCCTGCTTCAAGTGTGGGGATGCAGAGGCTCTAAAGAAGAAAGGAAAAGAGAGAAAAGGAGGAGGCTACAGAGAAAGTAGGGAGGCCTAGAAATGACATGGAAATCAGAAAGTGAGTAATGGCAGTGCTGGGGAGGAAGTGGGCAAGCTCCCACACTGCAGGAGAATAAGAACCAAGATAGCCTGCTGAGGACAAGCAGCAGCATTTAGGAACACATGGGATGGAGGGCTGTGGGTACACTGTGGCCACTTCTAGGTATGGGTCCTAGCCACAGCTCCCAGCACATCCTCAAGCACCCACCAATGAGGATGCTAACTACAGGTAGCATTTACAGCCAGAGAAAGGAAGACCATCTAGCAGAAGAAGGGGACAGTCAGACATGGGACAGGCAGTTTAGGGTGAGGATTTAATGTTTATGCAAATGATGGTCTGGAGCAAAACCTGAGCTCCTCAGTACTTTTTGAGCTCCAATTGGTCCTCATTCAGTTAGGATTTTGCACCCTTTGAGTCTGAGCCTCATTTGTCCCAGATCAAGACAGCCTTTTTCCCTAGGCCACACAGCCCAACTAGAGCTGGATTTAGAAGGCCAGGTGTTCAGCTTCCCAGCCCAGTTCTCCCCCAACAGCCCACAGAGCCCAGCTTTGCTAACAGTTGCCTTTTGTGTTTGACTTGGGCTTGAGATGTTAAACAAACAGTGGCTCTTGACAAATGCAAGCCGTTGCTGTGGGACCAGTTATGCTCTGGAAAGCCAAGCTAATCCCTAACTTCACTGCCTCTGGAGATACACCGAGAACCGCCCCCCCCCCCCCCCCCCCCGTCACACCCACAACCAGGGCTATGACTTTGGTGTGGCATCCTGTAGCAGCAGCCCCTGTCTTTCTGCCTGGTCCTCTTACCAGACCTTCCCTGGCTGATACTGAGATGGCTCTGAACCCCCTCCCCTACCTCTGCTTGCTTCTCTGAAGCTCCAAGTGACACCAACTCACCCAGGTGACTGGAGCCTGCAGGATGGACTCAAGGAAAGTTTTGGAAGCATCTTCTCCGTCTTGACTATTGTGCAAAGCTAAAGCTCATGCCTATGAGTGAGGTTTTAAAAGAAAAATGAAATAAAATAAAAATAAAAAAAGCTTTGTACCTTTCCTGTGGGAACTTATAGTCTGCTCGAGACAGATGGATCAGCACTTCCCCAAGGCTCTGTGCTAGCTCATAACTGATGGGTCAGGCCTTGAACAAGGTTTGTCTGACTCCAGGTCAGCTTCTCCACTCCTTCCCTACCTGGCTCTGCCTTAGTCTCCAACCAAACCACCCACGCAGCAGGGATAAAAAGTAATGGGATGGAGCGTCTCTGCCTCCATTCTTCAAGTGTATACACTTGATCATTGTGAAGTAAACAAGACTGTCATCAACACATGGTAATGCTTTTGTTTCTCAAAAATAGAAACTGAGGCAGAGAGACCACAAAGCTTCCCCCAATTACCCCAGCAGCAGCAGCATCACGGCCCAAGCCTCTGGACTGTCATGTCAGTTCAACACCCTCATGCTACACATGCTTCCTTAGCCCTTCAAACACTTGACTCTGTCTTTGCCCTTCTCCCTGGCAGGACTTGCTCCAGCTTGAGAAGTACTCATCTGTAGGCATGGAAGCAGGATGCTGAGGTTTTTCTACCCCAGACTCAACTGTCTTGAGTCCTCTTATCACTCAATCTGGTTGCAAATCCATCAGAGACAGGACTGTTCCAGGCCTTGGCTCATGTCCCAAGGGCCTAAGGAAATGTGTAGGGCAGCTGTGATATACAAAGCATTATGGGAAGAATAGTATTGTAAAAAGGGCTCTGCCCAGGAAAAGATATTAAGCCAGTGTGGAAGTCATAAGAGCAAATATATACTTGACAAAGAGCAACTAAATTTCAGAAGTCCTTAGAGACACAGTAGCCAGTTGTTCAGATGGGACAGGGTGCTGGGAAATGCTTCATGGAGACAATTGTCTTTGAGTTGGGTCTTGAAGCCTGAGTTGGTTGGCAGAAGAAGGTGGGAGAAGAAAAGAGATACCAACATCCCAACTGATGGGAGCCCTGGGGCCCTTGAAGACTCATGAAACATGAGAGAACACAAATGTGTTCTTACAGATGGATGGAGTGCTGTGTTAAGCTGCAAATGATTGTGTCTAATGTTTAGTATACAATAAAGTATGGCAGTGAATGATAAATTCCAAACAATTTACCCTAACCTTGTTGCTGCTTCTTTCCTTACAGACTAGTCTTCAAAGAAGTGGCTATTCCCTTTTTGCCTAATTCTCAAGCGGACTAAGTAAACAGATGCAATCAGTCCAGAAGGTCATGGGATGTTACAAATGAAAAGCATGTTGATGTTTTCTGGTCCAAACCCTCCACTTGGGGATGTGGAACTCGAGAAGTAGGCACTCCAGCTAATCTCCAATGCTGCAGCAAACACAGGCAGAGACAGGTTGACTTTGAGCGGGCATGGACAATTCCAAGGGTCCTATGCAGAAGGAACCAAGGAATGCTGGTAGGTGTTTGATGCAGCCCAACCCAGGTCACCAGGAAAAGAATAGATGAGATCATGTCCGCTATCCCAGTGACTGGTCAAAAACCTTAACAGTGCTCCTCCATCGCAACCTTCCCTCCACAAGGGATAGGATGATTGAGGAGACCCTAACTGTTCTCTAGAACTCAGGACATGCAATATAGGTGTTCTGGTTCCATCTATAAGGGATGCTGAATAAGCTCCCATCGTACTCACTGTAGGACCTTCCCTACCCCTCTCCTTACTGTCGAGGCCTCGGTTTCCTAATCTGTAACACAAGGATGCTGAGAGAGATGGTCTGTAAGAGTCTTTCTAGTTCTTAAGAGCTATGAGAACAAGTTCCATCAAAATGAATAATAAATGTCCTGCCCCAAAGACAGCTTTTCTCTTTCCTAAAGCTCTTTCACTTAATAATATCGCCTTTCATTTGTGTAGCAGTCTGGGGATGGCAGCCAGAAGTAGGGAAACTCTGATAGCATCCCCTGAAGCCCGGCTCTAGGGAGTAGCTTGCACATCCAGAGAAATGTAGCAGAACTGGCTTCTGGGCTTATTTTGACCAGGAACCAGCATATCAAAAGCACACCGAGCTGAATTTGTACCCCACCCATGGGAAGCTGGGAAGGGCATGACTCTTCTTCCTACAGCCAAAGAATGCCAGGGATAGAAATACCCAACAGGCGGTGTTCAAGGCCAAAGGAAAATAGTTTGTTTCTTCAAAGAGTTGAAGACCTTCCTTCGTGGGGAGAGGGGACACAGGTGCCATGAATTCAAGTTCCTGTCATCAGGCTGTGGTACTAAGACACCTGAGTCTTAAAAGAGTAAAGGTCACCAGAGAGTCTCATGCTCTGCCTCACACACATACAGTTTCCTTTGATTCCTTAGAGCCAACTGCTGAGGCCACTAATGTATAACGATCAAACCCATTTTAGAGACGGAAAAAGAAGTGAGGCCCAAGCTCTCCAGGAGAAGCAAACAGGCAAGAGTCTCTTCTCAGCTCAGTGACCCCAGGTGATTGTGTTGCCTTTAGCCTCAGGTTCTCCATCTACCAAACAGTCCTAAGTAAAAGCACACCTGACTTTGAGGACCACGGTAAAGGTTAAGATGGTGAGTGTGGCATACCCCGAAAGATACAAGGATGCATCCTGGAGGAATGAATGGGCTGGGAGCTCTGCTGAGATGCTTTTGGATACAGAGTAGTATCTGGCAGTGACATCCCAGCCCAGAATGTGGCAGATGGTGCCCTCCCTTACTTGCTATCTCCCGAGCCACAGGGTTTGGGCCTCTTCCACATCTCTCTATGTGGCCTTTGCCAGGGTCCTGTGAAGGGCTGTTTGACCCTCCTTGGCACTGACATTTGCATTCCAACCATTCTGCTCTCTCAGCCCATCCATGTCCAGAGTTGTTTGGAGCTGAGTAAGGCCCCAGGAATCATCTGCCATGACAATTCATGGAAGAGATAGGACATGAGTCTCCAAGAGGGGTAGTAACACTTTGCCTGAGTTTCCACTGCTGGTCAAGGTCCCTTCTTCATTGCCACAGCCCCCTGTGTTGACCCCTGCCCCAGTTTATCCAGTCCATCAATGAGTCATTATAATGGTCTGGACTCTCACCCCACCCCACCCACCCCGATTTCGGCTACGTACCACCCACTCCTAGTCTGCCCTTCCAAGTGCCATTCTGTGTTATCTATGTAACTCAGTCCAAGTACCGCTTCTCATGCTGGAATAGGACAAGGGCCATAGATATCAAGATGGGGCAGGTGGCCTAAGTACCAGCCTTGGCTTTCTCAGCCAGTCACCAGGGCCCAGTGAGAACCTGGGAGGGAACTCTGTGTCAGGAGGGAAGGCTTGAGTATGCTCACACGCACCCCGGCCCACAGCAAATCCCTGCCGGTTTCTAAGATAAGCCAGAAGCTGGAACACAGGGAAGGAAGCATGACCTGCAAGGAGAGGGAGTTGACTGAGCCCCTAGTCCTGTCACCAACTCTCTGAGTGTGTCACTTCACCTCCTATGCCTCTGTTTCCTCTTCCATGTGCTAAGGAGCAGGCCAGTAGGGCCCAAAGTCCTCTCCATTCTCAGCACTTCTCAGCACTGCGACTGAGGCAAAGGGTAGAGGAAGGGGATTTCTCTGTCTTGTTCTTCCCACTCCACTTTCTGCTCTCTGCCCCTTTTCAGGATATTTGTGTCTCCAGCTCTCCAAGTTTCCATCTCAGTCTGTCTCTCTTTTTTCATCTTACCCACTACAATTTTCTGCCAGATCCCCTTTTCCTGGGTCTGTGTGGACCTCTGGTTTGTCTCCTGGATCTCTCTCTCTCTCTCTCTGTCACACACACACACACACACGAGAGAGAGAGAGAGAGAGAGAGAGAGAGAGAGAGAGAGAGAGAGAGAGAGAGAGGCCCCTGCCCTGAGTCCTCTCCTTTCCCTGTAGTTATCTGTTTCCCTGCCTAGTTTTCTCTGGGGCTGGCGGGCTGGATCTCTGTCTCCCTCTCTCTCTTTTTCTCTCTCCCTCCCTCCCTCTCCCATCTTGCTCCCCCCTCCGCTCTCCCTCTCGCTCTCCCTCTCTCTCCCGCCTGTGTCCTGCCCGGGTTCTCCCGCTCGCTCCCCCTTCCCTCCCCGCCCTCGGCGCGGCTCCCCAGTCCTTATTTGGCTGGGCGGGAGGGCAGGCGGGAGGTGGTGGCCGGCGGCCGGGGGGCGGGCGCGGGGGCGGGCGGAGGAGGGCGGTGGGTGGTGCTGAAGGGACAGCTCCGCGGCGGCCGGCAGCGGCGGCGGCGGTGGCGGCCCCGGAGTGCGGAGCTGGTGCCCGGCGTGGAGATCCGCGAGCGCAGCCATGCCCCAGGCCGCCTCCGGGGCAGCAGCGGCGGCGGCGGCCGGGGCTGGGGCGCGGGCCGGAGACGCCGGAGGGCCGGCGACAACCGGGGAGGGACGATGAAGCGGCAGAATGTGCGCACGTTGGCGCTCATCGTGTGCACCTTCACCTACCTGCTGGTGGGCGCCGCGGTGTTCGACGCGCTGGAGTCGGAGCCGGAGATGATCGAGCGACAGCGGCTGGAGCTGCGGCAGCTGGAGCTGCGGGCGCGCTACAACCTCAGCGAGGGCGGCTACGAGGAGCTGGAGCGCGTCGTGCTGCGCCTCAAGCCGCACAAGGCCGGCGTGCAGTGGCGCTTCGCCGGTTCCTTCTACTTCGCCATCACCGTCATCACCACCATCGGTAACTACACTCGCCGCGCCGGAGGGGACGGGGGCGGGGACCTGGGATTCTGGGGAGCCGCCCGCGGCTGGGGGGTCCCTGCGGAGCGGGGCGGGCCGCCGAACCCGCGCGCTCCCAGCGGCCGGAGCTCAGCCCGGCGTGTCTGCTCTGCTGGAGGACCCCTGACTCCGACCTGTCTCCAGCTCGGCCAGCCCTAACTTGGCCTTGCCGGTCCGTGCGAGGACCCCAGGGGACTCAAGTATTTGAGAAGGACAGGAGCAGACGACTGAGGCTCGGGAGGAGGGGTGTGGCCGGGCTAGGCCCTGGGGCTGGGCGCCCAGAGTGAGCAGACCGGGAGGGTGCCACTCCTCCGTGTTCCTGACGTTGGGCTTGGGCACCCAAGTGTCCACACCTGCTGGGGTCTGGGGAGGCACGTAGATGCCGGGACATTGCACTCCGAGACACACGGGCCACTCTCTAACTGCGACTGAGTGCTGCCGGGGAGGGGGTGGGGTGCGTGTGTCCGTGTGGGTGTGAGTGTGGGTGTGTGAGTGTGTGTCCACCTCCACGAGTTTGGGCCACCAGACAGGGCCTGTAATTCTCTGAGGGCAGCACAGCAGGGGCTGAAAGCCAGATTCGGTCCTCTTAGCCTTCTTCCCCAGTGTCCCAGCAAAACAGTCACCTCACAGGAATGGCTCCACTTCTTTTTCAAAGCCAGGGCAGATCACACTGTAGGTACGAGGCCACACGCACATCCCCTGAGAACATGGCACACAGGTACACACACACACACACAGAGAGAGAGAGAGAGAGAGAGAGAGAGAGAGAGAGAGAGAGAGAGAGAGAGAGAGAGAGAGAAACACAAATAGATGTCAGATGTCAGGAAAGGCATCTCTGGCCAGGCCCTTCACCAAGCTGTTGAAGTGTCAGTGTCCAGCGGGAATTGCATGTCTTAACTATTCCCAGGACTCCATGATTGCAGCCCACCTCCAACACTGACCCTCTCCATAATCGACCTTGGGCAAGTCCCTTCTCCTGCCTGGATCTTGGGCTCATGTCCCAACATGTAGAGGTTGGCCAAAATGATGTCAAGGGCTCTTCCCAGCCCTGACGTGCTTGGACTCTGAGATTGGGAACCCACCTTCCCCCAAAGCCACTGGGATACCTCCAGGAGCTGTTTCCTCCATCTTCCCTACCCCTTCTTATCCTGACCCCAGCCCCTGCCTTGGCCGAACTCCCAGGGGCTCACTGCCATTTGGCAAACCCCATTAGAAGATGGCAGTGTTTTCCTGGGAGTCAATAGGAGTGGAATCAGGTTAAAGACAGAGCTGGACACTGTCTACCCACTGCAGAATTCTGCTCTGAGGTATATTGCTCTCCAGCAGCCAGGAGAGAAACACCCAGACACTACCCCAAGAGCCGGTTTGGTCTAGGGCCCCTTCCTTCCACATCCCACTGCAACTTGCCCACAGTTTTACAGCAGGTTAGCTGTCCATAAACCAGAGTGTGGTCTGTGTACACTCTCCCCGTCTTCCTACACCAGGTCCCCAATTAGTACAACTTTCCTCTAAGCCCCTGGGTCCCCTGATTCACCCTAACCTCCCAGCTGACCTCCTTGCTTCCAGCTTCACCCCACAGACAATGCACAGCTGTCCCAGTTTGCTTCAGCAAAGCCCACATGACTCCCACTGTCCATGCTCCTTACCTCCTCTACCTCCATGCCTGACTTTATTCCTTCTTACTTGGATGACCTCTCACTATGGCCTCCAAATCATCCCGCAGAGACTGCTTAGCATGTTTCTAACCAACTTTTCTGCCTTCCCTTCACTAGCTCTCTAGGTCCAGTTTAACACCACACACACACACACACACACACACCATGCTAAGCCTCACAGGGTCACTGCCCTTGAAGACTACAGCAGGATTTATTGGCAAGATGACCTAGGTGACCCAGTATGAACTTTTTTTAAATGTTTACATCCTAAGGAGTGTGTTTTGTTTTGTCTTTTAAATCATGCTGTATTGTTACTGTCCATGTAGGCAAAGCCCATCTCTGTGATTTTGAGAGCTAGCAAGGTGCCCAACAGCTATGAACACTGGAGAATGCTATTGATGGGTTTAATGTGTGCAGTTGCTTTCCAAATTGTCCATGGTTCTTACCTAGAGAGATGCTAGAAGATGGGGCTAGCAGCTTAACACCCTCTGCTGACATTTATACAGTGCTGGTCAAAAAGAAAGACATCACCCTAAACCAGCAATGCTTACATGCTTACTCCCTACACCCAACCATCCCCAGCTTTTTTTTTTTTTTTTTTTTTGCTTGTTGTTTTTTGTCACCTCTCACTTTGGCCCTGCCACCTAGCTAGAAGCTGTGCTTGGAGTAGTGATGGGATGCCTGGAAGGGCTCTATGTGACAATGTCCTTAGCCTGTCACCAGCCCATCTGCCTCTTTGGGAACATCTTGTGGCCAATCCCACTGGCTACGACTGGGTAGATGACAGCCTCCCATTCAGTCAACATCAATATCTAGTGACCACAATGTTGTTATCATTTGGTTGGATCTCAGCCCTCACAACTCAGTGTGCTTACCCGAGCAGGGATTGTTAGTTCTGTCACTCTGAACAGTGGGTACAGGTAAGGGAAAGGAAAGGAGTGGATCTCCTACCCAGAGCCACCAGGCTGATGGGCAGCAGACTCAGAAGGGGAGGATGGCGCTTCTAACTCCACACCTAGGGCTGTGTCCTGCTGGCCTCTTGGCTGCTTCCTTTACCTCCATATGCTATGAAGCCCAGGCCCAGCCTGGCAGAACTACCTAGTGCCCAGTGGTGCCAAGTTGCAGGATGCTCAGGAGCAGCCCTGATTGGTTGAAGGTCACTAGGGTCTGACTTAGTCATTCACCTGGTTAGTCACATTCTCCACTCCCCACCCCCTCATCAGCTAGGGAACCCTTCCTTCCCTGCTCCCCAAGTTCACCAGACACAAATGGAAACTCTTTCCTTGGGAAACCTCGCCCTCCCTAGCTGTTGAGTCATCAAACTCCTCCAGGCCCCAGCCCCCTCTATTCATAGCCTAAAGCTGTCAGAGAAGGAAGGGGCCTGGGGATCATCTGGAGCCATCACCTCCTCCTACAGAGAAGGAGGGGGTAACAGAAGGGTTACAAATCTGACTTCCATGCCCCCTGGTGCCTCAGTTGTTTATTACTGGTTTGTTTATTTGTTTTGTAATGCTCTCTACCACTGAACTCTATCATGCTATTTTTATTGCCACAGTAGCCACAATAGTAATGGCAGCCTCCCCTTTATTATCTACACTCTGGCAGGCTCTATCTGGACACTTCATTTGTATTCTCTTGTTAAGTTCTGCCAGTCCTCCAACGCTGACCTTATTACCCCCACTTTTCAGCTAAGCAATGGAAGGCTTTAAGTCAGCCACTCACCCATGGCCTCAGAGCTTGAGAGTAAAGCACCTGCACAGACTCAACAGCCCTATCGGACTCTTGCTGGCAGTTTCTTTCTCCATCTCAAACCCAACCCAGACTCTTGGGTTACAAGGCACCACCACATCTAAGCTGGCTCATCCCTACCAGGGCACCCCAGGAAAGGAGAGTCTGTTGTTGTAGCCTGCGGTTCTCGGATCACCTAATGACCCAACAGACAGATAGATCTGCGCCTGGCACCTGGTTGTCCCTGAGGCCTCATGGGGCTCACAGATGCTGGTTCTCTCACAGCAGGTCTGAGAATCTTCCCAGCTCTCAGGCAGCAGAGAGACCAGGTGATAGATCTGTTGATGGAGCCTAGGCAGGAAGCCTTGCTGTGCTTTCTGGCTCTGAGCCCGACCTCCCGCTGAGCACAGTCTCCTGTGGCTCACTGTGCAGCACCGTGACCCTGGGACTGAATTCAAGCAGGTGGCCCGAGAGGGAAACTGCTTTTTCTATCTTTCCCAGAAGTGACCAAATCTCAGAGCCCCATGATAAAAAAGAATGAGAGGTGATAGTAGGGAACTCCAACCACTCAGAGAGGTCAATAACTTGCCCAAGGCTACACAGCAGGTTGAGCCCTTGGTGAAACCCATGATGGGTTTCACTTGTACTCCTCACACTGAGCTCTCAGCATTACCCTGACCTCTGCCTACAAGGCCAGTCCCTTTACCTTGACTTCACAAGCCCTAACTTGAAAACCAGAGCTCTCCACTTCATCTCAACCCACCTTCTATCCCCTAACATGTCCTGCCCAAGCTATTAAATCTCTCAGATCTCATCTTGTCAGTTATAAAATGAAAATGAAATTATCAGCAGGAAATAATACTTTCATGCAAAGGACGCGCCTGGTAGAGTCGATATTTAATGGTATTGTAATGTTTACTATCATTAACATTATTGTTCATGGAGTATGCCTTCCCCCATGGAGGGGCCCACTCTTTCTCTTTGGAGTTACCATGGCAGAGCTCTTTCTTAAGGAATAGGTTAATGAGGTGAGGGGGAGTGTAAGGGGAGGCGGGACCAGGAAGCTACCACAGCCATTTGTCTTACCCCCCCAACACACACACACATACACACACACACACACACACACACACACACACACACACACACGATCCTACCCCCAGGACCCCCTTTTCCTTCCTCTTGCCTGGAGCTTGCCTGACATGCAGGCTCAAGGGCGATGCTACCTCTTCTGAGCAAGCAGACCCTCAGACAATTATTGAGGAAGAGGGAAGGTGTCTGTGCTAGGAGAACTTGTTGTGTATTGGAGCAAGGCAGAAAAAAATTTTAGTTCCTCCCAGCTCAGTTACTGGTCCTCTGTGACCCTCAGTTTCCTCATCTAAAAGTGGGTACATTTGGCCAGAGGTCCTCCTGCTTGCCCATCCAGTTCCCACGCATTCCAGTAGGAAGCTGGAGGTGCTGGAGGGAGCAGAGGCGGGAACAGGACAAA